AGCAAGAGAAATTTTAAATTAACTGTTGGTAACGATCTTCACGGAAAAGAAAAAGATATTGAAAAGACAATAAAAAAACAAAAAAATGAAATTTTGAGTATGAAAAAAGATATTATTAAAAAGAATGAAGAAATTGATGAACTAAAAAAACAATTATCAAAAGAATCATTCGATCAAAAAGAACAAAAAAGTAAAATTAAATTAGAAGAAATTAAAAAAGATATTGAAGAAATTGATAATGAAATAAACAGAGCATTAGAAAACCTTCAACAACAAATGAAAATAGAAAGACTAATGAAAGAGATTAACGAAAACGAAAAAGAGCTCGAAAATTTTAAATTAACTGTTGGTAACGATCTTCACGGAAAAGAAAAAGATATTGAAAAGACAATAAAAAAACAAAAAAATGAAATTTTGAGTATGAAAAATGACAACGAAGAAACAAAACGAAATATTGTAAAAATAGAAATGGAAATTAAACGAGTTATTCAAGAAAAGGAAGAAAAACTGTTTCAATTAAATAAAGCAAAAAAAGAAATTAATGAACTTGGTAATAAAGAAAAGAATAAAGAACGAATTATTCAATTAAGAGAAATGGAAAGGGGAATTTGGACAGCAGCAGAACAATTGGTTCATAAAGCAATGGAAAATGGAACATGTCCTGTTTGTGGAAATAAACATATTGATAATGAATCCATTAATGAAAGAAAAGAAGAAATCAAAAAAATGGGAAGGTTTAGTCAAGAAGAAAAAAAGGAATTAGAAAACCTCGAAGAAATTGAAAAGAAAAGAGAAAATGATCAAAGGATTATTGAGGAAAATGAGAAAAAAATTATACAAATTGAAAATGAACTAAATGAAATGGAGAACCAACTCCAAGAACAATATCAACATAGAGACCATCTTGATTCAGATATAGAAAGAGATAGTAATGAAATTGAAAAACAAGAAGACTTGTATGACCAAATAAAAGAAATGATTAGAAAAGAAGAAGAAAATAAAAGAAAACAAGAAGAACTAAATGAGATTCAAACAAAAGAACAAACAAGGAGTGTTAATGAATTAAAAGAAATTAAAAATCAATTAAATTCAAAATTAAAAGAAGAAGAGATTTGTATGCACACAATTATAAAATCTAAAGAACAAGAAAAAGAAAAATTGAATAATATAGAAAAGAAAAATTTAAATATAAGAGGATTAATACAAATGATAGATGAAAAAGAAAAAAATTGGAAAAGAACAGAAAATGAAATAAAGGAATTAGAAAGTTTAATAATTATAATAAAAGAGGAAATTGAACAAGAAAATAAAATTATTGAAAGCAAAGAAAAAGAAGCTAAACAAAGGTATCAAGAAAAAGAAGCTAAACAAAAAAATTATAATAAAAGAAACGAGGAAAGGATTAAAGAAATAAAAGAAATTCAAGAAACATTAAGAAATATTTCAGTTTGGGAAACTTCATTAAAGAAGTCTAAAGGAGTAAAAGAATTAGAAGAAATTTTTGAAGTAAATCAAAAGAAACTCATGAATGACCAGTGTAAGTTAAAGTTAATAGAACAAGAAATTGAAACATTAAGACAAACAAGTGGGGATGTACAAGATAAAATTAATACTAAAAAACTAAAAATTAAAGAATATGAAGAGGATAAAAAGTATATTGAGAATAAAGAATGTCTTGATTCAATTCAAAACATTCTTGATAGCCCAAATTACAGAGAATGTGAAGAAAAGATAGAAAAAATCAAAAAAGAAATAAAAACCTGTGAAAATATTAGAGACACTTTAATGAGTGAAGTTAGTGGAATTGAAGGTGAATTAAAAATATTAACAGATAATATATTCAGATACAAAGAAGATATAAATAGACTTAATCCAAATGGAAAATTAGAAACAGAATATGATGAATTATCTATTCGAAGAATTGTTGAAAAAAATACAATTGAAGATTTAGATAAGTATAAAGGAGCAGTAGGAAGAGCTATGACAAAGTATCATAGAGAGAAAATGAAAGAAATTAATGATATTATTAATGACTTATGG